GTACTAATGATGGCCACAAAATGTCTCAATTTCCTGAATGAATTCTAAATTTCTCTATGAACATTGGTTTCACACAAATACAGAGCTTATAATTAGAATGAAATTATATAATCTATATTTATTTGTTATGTGCTATGTGCCAAGCATTATCTGAATGCTGTGAATAACACAAAGATCAGGAAAAATTCAGTCCTACTCCTCAGGTACACATAGTCTAGAAGGAAAGACAGGAAATAATCAAGCTACAGGAATGTATAACAGATACCTGATCAAATGAAAAACTCAGAACAAGAATTCTGATGAAAGAGAAATGCAGAAAATCAAATACAGTATTTGAAAATAATTAGCTACCACTAAAATTGGACAAAAATCATCCATTAAATGTTTCTCCACTAAGAAGATGGCAAAGAAATTAACCAATGGATAGGAAAACATTCTAAATTAGACCGGATACATCCAGCTTGTTCAAGAGTCATTAATTCAAATGAAACGTTCACCCTCAAAAAGTTCAAATGGAAATAAAGTGCACAGCTCTGTGACTTAAGAAATGTAAGTCTAGTAAGTTTGAATGTATGGGACAATACCACAGTGTCCTAGTTCTGAGAAGCCTCTATCATGTACCCAAGAACAAGACAGCTTGCCTTGGAGAAAGGTAGTGACCAGGGAAGGAAGGCACCAGGCTCTTAATAGTACTTAAGCAGACTTATGACAAGGTTCCAGTTCCACAAGGGACCTGGATTACAAAAAGTAACCACAAAAGAACCATATGTGTGGACTATTTAGCCTTATTAAAGGACTGCTGAACTGCTTCTCTTGTTACTTTTGAAAATAAGCACTCCAAAAGAAATCACATATTTAAATAACAAGTGTAGCCCTGAATGTGAGAAAAGGAATACTTACTAATTGTCTGATTCTATATCCTAAGTCCATCTATAACTACAACGAAATACTCTAGTTGCCTCACATATACTTTGTTAAGATGTTTGTGGCATATACTTCCATAACCACTGATGAGAAATGTTTAAAATTAAAATTTCACAAGCAAACTGATTACATGCCAAGGATATGGTAATACCATCCTCTGTGAACAGTGGATGCTCAGAGCACCAGAAGGAGCCCAGGACTATAAGTACTAGGGTAGATATTGGGAGATTCCTAATGTATTTTTGGTCTAGGTAAAAGAATAATCTAACAGGTGTATGTCAGCTAGTTTAAGACTGACCCAAGAATCAGCAATGTCAGATGACTGCTTCACATGAACACCATCCTACCTTACTTACTGTACATTTGCTTTCAATAATAATAGTATTAGCAGGAAAAACAAAATACTCCAAAGCTGTCCCTGTGAAGGCTATTATCCACATTACTCAACTTGTTCACACAGGAATTACTATGGAACTGGCCCTGCATTTGCTAGGCCCAAAGTTTACCAACACTATTCAAAAAAAAAAAAAGCTTGAAAATTCTCCTCAGTTTTTTATATAAACAAAGCACAATACTGCAACTTACTAAAGAAAGAAGAGGTAAGAATAAGCCTAACAGAAAAAGAAAACCCATTGTTTTACCTTTTAATTATTACCAATATGAAATGCAACATTATCATTTTAAAACTTTAAAATATCATTTAAGGACAACCTGCCAAAACAGTCTGAACTCCCAAAGTCATATTCCTTACACAGGTCTACATACCAAAAAAATGAATCCTTATAAAATGAAAACAAGGATTTAAAAGGCAGCACATGCCTGTAATCCCAGTACTCTGGGAGGGAAACACAGGAGGGTCACAAATGATCCCACCTTGGGCAACTTAGTGACTTAGTAAGACTCTATCAAAATAAAGGACTGGGAATACAGCTCAGTACAAAGGCTGTAAATTCAGTTCCCAGTACCAAAAAAAAAAAAAAAAAAAAA